TCAGTAATTCAGATAGTAATTACTATCTGTAATTGAGCATTACATATAGAAATAGGATATTTACTCACATAAAGAAGCATATGGCTGCAAATTCTGAACTTAGAACTACCTTGTGTCCATATGCATCTGGCTTAAACTGCGGTCAAAGTATTCCCCACTCTTTGTCAGGGTGTGTGACATCAGAGTATGGTGCTCACACTGTCATCATCCATGCAAATATTAACATACTGGAAAGCTTTCAAAACAAAAGAATCTGAATTTCAGCATGCCACAGTGATGTAGAACTTCCCCCTCTCTGGGTTTTATGTACAATGATTAATATATCTTTCTAAGGATGTGTGTGTGTGATTATTTCTTTACTATGTGTAGAAAAAGTAAACTTCCTTTTCTTCAATACTACTCTTTTCTCCTAACATCTCCCATCTCTTCCCTCCTTTACCCATAAAGAAACAAACAGCTGATATTAGCAAGGCCTCATAGTTTCCCTGGCGGAAACCAGGAAATAGAGAGTTAAAAAAAGAAAAAAAGCTACTTGTCAAGAATCAGAGTTAAAATGAATGGTTTTGGACTGAGAGAACACCCAAAGTTGTAGGCATCTGCCAAAAATCTCACCAAAAGTAGTCTCTTCCATGCTAAATTACTGCTCTTAATGCAATAAAAAAATTAGTTCTCTATTCACCAATAAATTCCTTCAAGAAATTTAAGTAAAATGTATTAAGAAGTCAAATTTTAAAAACACTCATAAGCTATAAGTAGTGAAGCTGTGTGTATTTACATCATATTTAAGCAGATACCTACAATGCCAGGATCTTGTATTGATGTCAATTCCTCAAACTGATCCATGAACAAAAAACCCAAACTCACATGACACTCTAGGTGAATCTTTTGTCAGACCAGATTCCCCTGAGAAGTTTGGAGGACAGAGAGCCATTAAATATTCAACATAGCAAACAAGGCTAAACATTTTGCAGTGCTGAACACTCCAGAAATTCCACTGCATCTACAAATGCATTTTGCCTTGCTGAAAATCCTGCTGGGAAGCAGAAACTCCTGAGCTTTCATGCCTGCTCCATCTACCTCACTCGGCAATTGCTGCCAAGTGCCCAACTCTTCCTGATACAACTTAGACTTGCAGAGCACTCTCAGCTACCACTGATTTGCTGAAGGCATCTGATCCACGTATAAAAAGTCAGTGTCTTTCTACTTCAAAGGTATTCTAAAGATTGACTAGAAATCTGGAGTTTTTGAGGAAGCACACAGCTGTAACTAACATTTTACTTCCACTATTTTATAGTCAAGTAGTTAATAATTGTTTTCCTGACTCCTTCCCCACGGTTTCCCCCTTATTTTTTTTCAGACATACAACATTCCTAGATCTCAACTAACCTAATTATCAAGACAGAGCCTCACATCCATGCACAGAGCCAGTAGGAGAGTTTTAAAATCAACAGCATTTTGACATACTAAGTCTTTCCATTATAACACAGAGAGGGAAATAATAACATTAGTACCATATTTTGTGTTAACTTATTTCATAGCTTTAAGAAAGGCAAGCTTAGAGACCTCCACCAAGATTGCCTTGGACTATACAAACCCCCATCTATGAATTTCTTAGCAACTTTCTAAGCTAAGACAATGTTAAAAAAAATCACAGTCCTAACTTATAACCAATGATTCAAGGCCTAAAATCTCCATGATTACCCAATCCACAGAATTCATTGTGAGCTAACAGCTATTTTCCATCTAATAAATGTGGTTCGAAGATGCTCTGAAGATTCAGAATGCTGAACATGTGGAGCTGTTACCATAACCATTAGAAAGTTCAAAAGCTCATTTCTGTCCTTCTGTCTGCTGAGGTGAATTTGGCGCTCACAGAACGACGCTGGCTTTGCCAAGCAGTGAGGGCTGGCGTTACACACGCCTCATTACACAGTTCTGTCTGCCCACTCTAAAAAAAACTGTCAGCCCTCAAGTCTTGCTTGAGCAATGGTTTCAAATTGTGGGTCTCCTCAAAGCATGTGAAGTTCCTCCAAATCCTAATGAGACCATTAGACAAGGAAGGTGAGCAGCATATTGCAAAACACCACCAGAGAAGGCCAAGTTGCATGGAGTGAACCTAGAATTCCAAAGTCACTTTCTTAAATGGCTCTACACATGATGTGGAACCTGTTCTTTTGAAGTAGAATACATAAAGTTCCTTTAGACCTGTCAGGCACAAGCAGAGGTTATGCTAAAGAATGTTTACAACATCAAGTTCTTTGCTACCTTTTAGATCTTTCAAGAAGTGCAAACAGTAGCATATTGAAAGTCCTTTACAATTTTTCCTGAAGGTTCTCCAATCACACTACATCTGCTCCTCCTTTAGTCGGCAGCAATTTTCATGTCTTCTGTGCTTTAGCATGTCAATGTGTCTTACAATTTTAATGATATAATAAATGTAGGCTACATTCTTCCCCTTTAGATTATACTCTTCTAAAGTGAATTATACTGAACTTAACATTTACTATGATCTCAAAGCTCTTAAGGATAAAAGAGTGGTACACACCTTCTAACAAGTGACAATAGCCAACTCCTGCTCAATTTGGGCTGATCTCTGAAGCTGGTTAGAAAGGATCCACTAATACTTTTTAAGAAATACATTACAGTTCACTGAACTCTGAAGGATATGAAAAAGACCTCAGTGGACCCCCTGAAGTTCCATCCAGTTCCTTGACAGAAAGACCACAGAACTAGAAATGAACCAAGTGCAAGTGGTGTAAGGCACAGAATTATAAAATGCCATCTGGTTGGTACAGGATAAGGAAAAGTATCATTTTGGTGGGTTCCACCTCCACAGAAAAAGAAAGACCTGTTTATGCAGCAAAATGGTTTGACTATTTGGGAAAGTCCTCAACTAGCCATGAAAAATTTAAAAAAGGAAAAAAAAAGGGAAAAGAGAGAAAGATGAGAAAAGATGAATAGAAATAAAATAATAGAAGACAGTACATTTGTATTAATAGAACTAATAATGCTGAAAACTTAAGTTGTCACATCCCTTTAATGCCTAATTTGACAATATTAGAAAGTTAAATAATAACAGAAAATTTTATTCTTAGAGGTGTATATTCAGCAAAGGTGACACTACTGACAGGTAGTGGGGAGCTAGACAAGTAGAATGCTACACTCACTATTGCTGCCTATTTAGGAAATAGGAAGCAAACAAAAGGGAAAATGGGACTAAAATGAAAATTGCATCACTTGTTTACAAGTCCCTGACAACTCAGAAGCAAACCATCTTGGACATTTATGGATCAATGACCCTGCATCTAAAGCACAAGGAGAGGGAATATTGACCATTTATACACAGAAGAGAACAGCATGTCCATGCACTCAGCTAAAAATGTTCAGAATACTCCCTCACGCCATGACCCCAAAACTGTTATCACACAGTATTTTAACACATTGATCATTCTGAAAATTTTACAGCAAGCTCAGGGTTTATAAAAATTAGAAAACATAAAAATACTGGATTTGATACCATGAAATCTTTACTAGACCTCAGCTTTATAGGCAAAGAGAAACTGATCACCAAAATAAAGATTAGCCATAGCTTAGCTACAAGGGATTGTGCCTCGGTTGTATTTATTATTCACAAACAAAAAAGTCCATGGTTTATGTGGTTTAAAAGTTCCAGCTCCGTAAAGCTGCAAAAAATCCTGAACTCAGGACGTAAGAATCTGATTTCAAAGATGATGTTTTTTCAAATAAGACTCTTCTAAAGTTACATACAAACAAATGGGTCACCAATCACAACTAGATGAAAGTTAACCCAAAATTTTTCCTCAGACTACATATAAACAAATGGTGGGAAACCCACGGAAAGTCCCAGTGACAGCAGTAAGCTTAACTGAAATGCTACAGACGGCCCAGTGAAGCAAAAGACACAAGAAACTGCCTTCTGAGTATATCAGGAACAAAAGGAATCCTAGCAATATTACAAAGTCCATTATTTGATAGAAATTCTTCAGTGTGGAGAGTCTACGGAAGAGAGAACTGTTTAACACATAGCTCTAAGTCTCCAACAGCAAGCATTGTGGCAAACTTTGTGATAAATATTGTTTATTCTGTAATAAACAACAGTTATAAACAAACCCAATTAAGGCTAGATATCAGGACACTGGATCCAGGTAATGCACTCACATCAAGAGAGGTGTTGCAAGAGAGGTAATAATCCAGAACACATCCATAAGAAATATTAGGAAAGTAGAAAAGTAAGCCTCACAAAGGAAAGCTCTACCTCAAAGTACTATGTTTTCCCAAGACAAGTTTGGGGACAATCATAATAAACATACACATTATCCAAATTTGACAGCAGAAGGCTTTTCAGTCTTTTCAGCCAAGATACAAGAACCACTAGCCTAAATTTAAAAGCAAATAATTTCAGTTATACAAAATGGCATCTACTTCTAATCCGCTCAGGGGAATTCATTTAACACCATCAGTGGAATTGACTGCCTTGCTGGTAATGTTTGAAGTAACAAAAGGGTTTCTAAATTATGCATTTTTGCTCCAAGAGGTCTTAATTCAGGGCAGTCCTCTGGTCTACATCACACAGGTTGTTTTAAACAGGGTTTCTGTAAGTACTTACAAGCTTTCTTTTTTTTGGCATGAAATCCTTCTGAATAAAAACAAAAAAACAAGACCGCTGGTGAAAACCAACAGCACAGCTCTTAAAATTCTCCTCTCATTCCTACATTTGAGGAAATATTTGTTTTCATGCACCAAGTTTCATAGCAAAATCCACTTTTTATTTACACAATGTTTATATGCACTTGGAAATGCTCAATATCCTCCTTGTATATGCCTTATTTTTAAAATAAGTGGCACCTATACCAGCTTACAGACTGAGACATCTCAGCCTTTGCTATTTTATGTGACACTTTGTACACAGTAAACTTCCTCATCTTTCCATTAACTATTCAAGCTACCAAGCAGCTCAGAAATAAAGTGCAAGTACCTACCAGATAACATTCACTATTGCAGATACTCTGAGTCCTTTCAGAGATCCAGAACTGCCTCAATTACATGGTTTATCGAAGTTGGTGTTGGTTTCCAGTGCTGCACATCCTGGTATAGGGGAGAGCTGAGCATCAGAACGCACCACAAAACCCAGGCACCCTCAGAGGCGTAAACCAGACATCTTCCCCAACTTTGCCTGCACATACACTGTACTGCTTCTTCTCGCTCGCCCCCGCACCGCAACGCCACGGGATGCAAGATAACTCTGGAGCCAGAACTTCATGGCTCGCTGCCTGCCGTCAGTCTGTCCGTCCGTCCGTCCGCCTGAACGCCAGCGGTGACAGCGGGCAGGAACTCGCCGGCTCCTTTGAGCGCATCGGGATTGAACTTCTCGATTCTCCTTTCTGACTGACGAGTCAGACGGATTTTCCTCCGCCCGGAGGCGAGCAAAGCCCCGTGAAGGCTCCCGGCACGGGGCGGAGGAAGAAGAAAAGGGAAAGGAGCCCGTCCTCGGAGGGGTTTGACCCCGCTGCGGGCCGGGTCGGGGGTCACGCACACTCCGCTTCCAAAGGATGCCACGGCTCTGCCTGCGCTCTGCCTCCCCCTGCCCGCCCGGAGCCCGCCGCCCCCGACGGGCGATGACCCCCGGCCGCGGGGGCAGCGCCGCCGCCAGACAATGGGGAGGCGGGCGGGGCGCGGCCGCCCCGCCGCGCCCACCCCGCGGGCTCCGTCCCCGTCGGGCCTGGCCCGCCCGCCCCCGCTGGCCGGGAGCCGCCCCCGCCCCGGGGCGGCAGCGCTGTCCCGTCTCTACCGGAGGAGAGCGCCCGGCCCGCTCCCGGGGGAAGCGGGGGCGGGCGCAGGGCGCGCCTCCCCGGGCAGCGGGGTCGCCCTCCCGCCTCCTGGCGCCGAGAGCCCCCCTCAGCGAGTCCCTACCTGCCGGCGCCGCTCCGCCTCGCCCCCGCAGCCCGCGCCGCCGCCCGCCCGCCGCCTGCGCTCACGGCCGCGCCGCCATCTTGCGCTTCACAAACTACTGCACTTCTTTCGGGGCGGGGGGGCGGCGGATGGGCCGGGAGCTCCCAACGCCGCGGCCGCCCGCGCCCTCGCCTCGCCCCGCGGCGCCCACTCGCATCCTCCCGGCGCGCTGCTGCCCCGGGGCGAGAGCGCGGCGAGCGCGGACAGCGCGGCCGCTGCCTCGGCCGCCCTGGCAGCGAGCGGGGGCGGAGCCGCTCCCGCCGCCCCGCCCGTCAGGCGGCGGACACCGGGCGCGGGGGCTGCCCCGGCACCGCAGCGCCACAGCCCGGGGCCACCGGCGGCTCCTCGGCCGCCCGGGGAGGAGCGAGGGCGGCAGGGTCGGAGCTCCCGGGCGGCAGCCGCGCCCCCGCCGGCAAACTTCGGCTCCGCGCTGGCCTTGCCGCCGCGCCCGGGACGGGCCGTAGGGACAGCCTCAGCCGGCCCGGGAAGGGTTTCTGCCGCCGAGGGAGGACACGTAAGGGTCCCGAGACCCAAACTAGGGAGAATGAACACACAAGTAGCGGCTCTAGCGAAAAAGACACTTCCCACACCTTGGGTGGTGGGGTTTTTTTTTAAAGAACTTGGAGAAAGGAGACCTCTCTCCCTTTACTACATACAAAATATTTGAATCAATGGTTGAGTTTAGCTCTCACTGCCCAGTTCTCAAATACGTTGTTTCCTCTATACTATTTTTTCTCATCACCGTATGCTGTTTTGGGTCAGACAGTAAAATGTAATGGTTTCCCCTGAGAAAGAAAAAAGAAAGGGGTAAACCCTTAGCTGTTCACAGGTAGTTACAGAAGATGAAGATTTACACAGCAGGGTAAATTTTTTTTAATTTAGCTGCCTAGGAAAGGATCCTGACGAACCTAAGTGACAGGAAGACATGTGTTCAAAACAGAAGTTTTGATCTCAGAAATGCATCTGGTTCCTCAGTTCCTCACTGTCAGTTTTCCATATAGTGCTCTTAGGGGATGCACTCAATAAGGTGCCTGCCGTCCCAAGTCACATCGAAATTGGTGATGGCAGCCAAGGAGGAGATCAAGTTAAGGACATTAGTTCATTTATTACATTTCCAGTGTCATAAATTTTCAATTTAATTATTTTCTCTCTCCTGAGCTTGTCTTTGCTGTATAATCCCTACACTGATTAGAGAAGAAGCTGAGCAGATGCCGTTTTTATTTTAAAATGATAGTATTTATGCTGGTGCCTTAAATGCAAGATTATCAATGATCAAAATTTTCTGTGATTAACATAGAGCAGACAACCCACCATTAGAAAGAGATGAATTTTTTATTAATATCCACTAAACAATACAGAGAAAAAAAATCTGCATAGCACACTAATGTTTGAACAAACACAGTAAAAGGACACAAAAAGAGAACACTACTGACAGAGGTAAGAAACCAAACACACACAAAGAGGGATTGCACAGTTTGGCGTTCAGTATTGCCACATGTTGTGTATGTGAAGTGACAGAACAGAAGAGCAAAGGGTCATGCCACATGTTTTATCACTATTTATATAAAATTTTGTTCTCACATAGTTAAACTTTGTCTTATTCTTTTTTTTAAATATCAAATTAACAGATACATTTTCTCTGCAGGTTTGAAGAGAAGTACTTCTTCAAAACAGAGTGCTGCTTTGCTTTTATTTCAATATATTTATCACCAACAATATATTCACTTTTATATAATGAACAGATATAATTCTTTCCTGGTAACTAGAAAACTATTTACAATTGAATTTAACGATAAGCCATCTGATGAACTAACAATTTGTATTAAAATGCTTTTCTCCAGTATTGTCATTATTACAAGCATGGCTAAACTTTCAAAGTTACAGTAGTAAATTTTGCTTTGTTTCAAGTTATGTTTTCTTTTAAAGAGAGGTACTGAAATTATCTATTCAGATCTGCTGAGTTCCAAAGGCAATCACAGCAGTATGTCACATTAAAATACACATATCCAAAAGGGAAATATCAAATAAAAATCATTAAATGACTTTATTTGAGCTTTCTTAATAAATTTCAAGATATATTTGTATAAATATATATATGTAGACCTAGTATTTATTGAACAATGCAAAGAAAAAACAGCATGCAATAAAAAGAAAACATGACAGAGTGCGTCAAGTATGCTAAAATCAAGTATCATGGATAACTGAAGGCTGTTATTTCTTTCTTCATTGCCTAAGAAGAAAAAAAAGACAAATCAGGAGTCAGCGTGGATACAAACTTAAGAACCCTGTTTACTACTTCATCAAAATAAGTGAAAATCTGTACACACAATTGTTAGTAATGATTTAGCCAATACATGTGCTGCCACCATCACTGTTGTTCTATACTCACTGGCTCCAACACATCCTTATGCACCCAAGATAGAGAGTAGGCTAGAAACACTGCAGGGATCTGTGTCAGAGGACTATGGATCAATGGTGCTTTCAACAATTAGAGAGGAGATAGTTCCCAAAAAGCCACAGCTAAAAGCTGAACTGTTCTTTTCTGCACTCTGAATAAATACTTGTTAAAGTCTCCATCTTCATACAGTAGAACTCACTCCTGGACTGACTTGTGCAATTCCTCTGAATAGGAAATATTCTTTGGTTAAAGCTCAAAGAAACAGAAAACAAAGAAACCAAGTTCTGTCACAAAAGCTTACAAGCCCCAAGATAACAAGCATGCTAAATCATGTCATTATGATAGATGAGAGAAGGGTGCATTTTTCAGGAATGGCATCCCTGAATCCAAGTAATCCTCACTGTTGCACAATCAGAGCGAGAGCATCTGATCTGACTCTGTCAGATATGAAAGCAGAAATCAAGATGACCAGGACTCAACAGAAGAGGCTTCTTGGCTTTTTTAAGGAAGACTGAGATACATAGAAGAATTTTACCTATTCTTACGCATGACCACCTGGAAGACAAATGGATTCAAGGACTTTGAAGCTGAAGACTGGATATCCAACCTCTCTAAATCAACTCAACACTGGGAATGTCAGAATGGGACCATGTGAATATGGGACTTGTGGAATATTTCTGCCAAGTTCTGACAACTTGGAAATCCTCTCTTAGAGGAAGAGATTACAGAATGTGACTTGTTAGCTTTAAATCTTCATAGACAGGAAGGTCCCCCTATATGAAATTAAAGATGCTTGAGCCATTCTAGCTAAAAAGGAAGTCTGGTGAGACTGAAGTCTCTCATTCTTGTTATGCTTCATACTTAGTTTCTTTTCAGGAACTGAATGACTACTATGCAAGTGTTACCATGTGTGAATGCCCACAAGAGGAGAACGAGGAAGTGACAGACTGAGAAAAGCACCCTCCTTTCACAGCCCCCCCAGCACTGAAAAGGTTCTGGAGCAGGAGTGGTGACAGACTGAGGTTAACTGCTTTGAGAGGGCTCTGGGGGGGACCCATCGTCTTCAAGCCTTTTCCTGCTGAAACTGCCAACAGCTAAGCCAAATGCAACAACAATTTTGCAATATGGAGAAATGTCTTCCAGACTGTAATGAACAAATCTTGTAACACAGGCAACTAAAAAGCAATGAGTAATACTAAATAACCATGATGTTGACAGGGAACACGTCTATATGCATAACACACACACACCTGTAATGATGACAGAAAGTGCTACAAGACAAAAAAAATTACCTTTACTAATTCATTTTTGTCACCATCTTCCCGATGTTGGTAAATGCACTGGCTAAGGACAGCATATAGTTTTTCCATGCGAAATATACTGACGTTCTCAGTTACCACGGCAATAGAATGCAACACTTGCTGAAGAAAAAAATGGAAACCAGAGTTCAGAATAGCACAAGATAAGCTGCAAACAGAAACGGTAGGACATGGCACAGGTTTATGGCCAACTTCCCATGCAAAACTTTTTAATTGCTGCCACATAAGTGACTGCACACTCTTGTATGTGTTCATCAAGTTCTAGGCCTATTATCAAGCAAATAAACAAAAAAACCTAAACAAAAAAACCAGCCCAAACAAAACCAAGCAGCTACAGCTTGGAGGTTCACCCAGCTTATTGTCTGCAAGTGAATTCCAAAGAGGCTCTCAATACAAGCAGCAAGTTCCAGTGGCACCCATGTTAAGGAATCAAGTTTTCTGAAAGAAGCATTTCATGACTGTAGCTCTGTCCTCACAGCTGAAATCTCTATAACAGCTTTATGGTACCATCTCTCCAGTGGGCAGCATCTTCAGTGCACATGCTGTTGGCACCCTGATTCTAGAGAAACCCATGTGGATTCCTTACACAGGCAGACATGAACAACAGCTTCCTCACAAGGGAAAGCAGAGGGGCAGGCACCAATCCATCTCTGCTCTTTCATGACCACTGACAGGACCCAAGGGAACAGCAACAGCATGAAGTTGTGTCAGAGAGAATTTAGGCTGGATGT